CTACTTGGAAGACTGAGGCGGAAGGATCGCCGGAGCCCAGCAGGTGAGGCTGCGGTGGCCAGGAGCGGCCATTGCACTCCAGTCTGGGCAGCAGAGTGAGACTCCAACTCAAAAAAAAAAAAAGAAATTTTAAGAATACAAAGACAATTTAGAAAGTCATTATGTTGTGAGATGGGTATGTTTGGTGATTTGATTTGTAATACTAAGGGAAGGAATTGTGTATCTGTTAAATTAGAAGTGAACTTCAGCTAGAACAAAGCCGAGCAGCAGAGGAGGAACAACGAGCTAATGACTTGGAACAAATTATGGAGAGTGTCAAATCCAAAATTGGTGAATTGGAGGATGAATCGCTAAATAGGGTTTGCCAGCAACAGAATAAAGTAAAAGATCTTCAAAAGGAGCAGAAAACTTTACAGGTACTGAGTTATGGATTTTCTTAGATGGTGGGTAGTGCTAAAACAGGTCATCATGGGTCCAGGGGACTTCCATGATGCTTAATTCAGTGGTCCTTACCCTGTTTGACGTGTCACTACTGCCTTGAAATTCTCTTCACTTGGTTTCTAGAATATCCTCTTTGTTTCCCTTTCACCACACTGATCATTCTTCAGTTCTTTTGCTGCCGTTTTTTTCTCATCCCCCTAACCTTGTAGTGTTGGAATTACCTGGTGCTCAGTCCTTGATCCTTCCTTTTCCTATATCCTCCAGCTCCCTTGGTGACCTCATTCTAGTTGATGGCTCCCAAATTTACATCTGTAGTTAAAGCCCTTTCCTAGTTCCAGATCCAGCTGCCTACATGATGTCTCTATTGGATGTCTAGTAGACGCATACAACTGTATATATCTAAAACAAAGTTCTTTTATAGAAATGGCAATATTATACATTAAATACTTAATTTCCTAATTTAAAAAAATTTGTGTTATAACTTGGGTGTTTTTTGTGATTAAAGGCAGTGAACTTTTGCGCTGATGACCAGTGTTTACTTGCATTAGACATTTCTGATCTTTAAGACCACTCCAAAAGGAGGTGGTCTTTGGAAATGTTTCTACATGAATTAGGTTTGAACTTGCCCTTAGATATAGGGCATGTGGAAATCTGAAGCCTTTTAATTCATTCACTTATTGAGGTGAAAAAGCAGCCATCAGAAGCTGTGAAAGTTCTGTGCCGGTTCTTCGGCTGAGAGGAGTTGAGAGCAGGGAAGATCAGTGTTCTTTCTTGGGGGAAGATGTCTATCTTTTCACAGAAGTTGATGTATACCAAATAACAAAATTAAATTATTAGAAATAGAAGGCTTACAGATTTACCAGGATTTTAGGCACTTCAAAGAACAGATGCTTGACAGTTCATTGGTAGCCAGAAACTGTGATTTAGAGTGCCGTGTATTTCCTATCAAATAGTTACATCTGTCATAAGCAATTTGTGGTGCTATTAGCTCTTTGTTTCAGGTCCCAAAGACTTGTGTAGTTTATAAATTGGTACAAGAGGAGGTTTCATGCTCCAATCAGCCATAGAAGGGGAAAACAGAAATAGGATTGAGGAGTGGATACCTGGGCATAGGAAAGGCTATCTCTGCTAATTTGATCAACTGAAATAAGTTGTTTGTTTAAGTCACTGAAGGGTACTTTGTAGGGTGCCAGCTGAAATTGGTAAATCCAAGGAATTGCTGCCCCCAATGTTGCTAGGTTGCCCCATTCAATACATGCTAGTCATGCGTTCCATTACATTATAGGAAAGGAAAAAATCTTTTTACTTCTTCCCTTTTAGGTTCTTAGCTGGGCTCTGTAATGAAAGAGAAAAACAAGTGGGAGTGTATGCACAGATTTCTCTCTTGTATAAATGGGAGAAACCCAGGGATGTGGAGCCCAAAGAGGTGGCTAGAACTTGGTCTTATATAGCATGTTAACAACAATAACCGAAAAGTTTTCAGACGAACTAGCAAAACAAAGGAAAGGGCTTTGAGTTTCTAGGGCAGCACATTGTAGGGTGATATTGGGGAATAATGGATGGTAAGGGCTAGTCAGTAAATTGGTTATATAGAATTCTGTAGTGATCTCTGGACTGATAAGGATGTAGGGTTGTCGCTGATTAACTTAAGTACAAATGAGAGAACAGAGAGCTTTTCTTGTGATGACTTCTCAGTTGCCTTTAGCTCAAAATATTTCTTATGCCAAAGTGCTATCTTTTGGGGTGGCAGATTCTTCTATCCTTCATCATACCAATCAAAATTTTGCTTTCTTGGGAGGATGAAAGTGCCCCTGGAGCATAATTATTTCACACTTATTCTACTACTTTTGGTATACAGTTGTTTACAATTTAAAAATGGTTTAATGCTGCATGTTTTGCAGTTGGGAGAAACATTGATTTTGGATGTGTGTGGCAAAGCGGGTTGAGGAAATTGGCAGATGTTTGAGATATTTTGAAAGATTGTTGGGGAAAAGAATTCATGTGGCATGGGCTGTTGACATAATTGATACTCAGTCTTTTTTCACTCAGCATGATTATTTCAAGATTCATCCATATCACTGCATATAATAGTTTTTTTTTTTTTAATTGCCAAGAAGGATTCTATTGTATAGATATACCACAGTTTGTTTATCTACTCACCTGTTAATGGACATTTGAGTTGTTCCCAGTTTCTGGCTACTAAAAAAGAAAAACTCTTATAAACATTTTTTTTTTTTTGAGTTGGAGTCTTACTCTGTCGCCCAGACTGGAGTGCAGTGGCCGCTCCCGGCCACCACAGCCTCGACCTACTGGGCTCCAGCGATCCTTCTGCCTCAGCCTTACAAGTAGCTAGAACTACAGGCATGCACTACCACGCCCGGCTAATTTTCGATTTATTGTAGAGATGAGGTCTCGCCAAGTTGCCCAGGCGGGTCTCAAACCCATGGGCTCAGGCAATCCACTCACCTCAGCCTCCCAAAATGTGGGATTACAGACTGAGCCACCGAGCCAGGCTCTTATAAACATTTATGTTCAAATATTTGTGTGGACATAAGCTTCCAGTTCTCGGATATTTAACTAGAATTGGAATTTCTGAGTCCAGTTAAGAAACTGCCATACTTTTCCAGAGAAGCAGTATTGTTTTCCATTCACATCAGGATATGTGTGTTCTAGTTTCTTGATGTCCTCATCCACACTTGATATTGTTCACCTTTTGTTTTGATGAATATTTTTCACTGAGTATAGAATTATAAGTTAATATTTTCTTTCAACATTTGGAAATGTTATTCCATTGTCTCTTGGATTCCATTGTTGCTGCTGAGAATGAATTTGTCAATCTATTTGTTGCTCCTTTGAGGGTAATCTACTTTTTCTTTGACTGCCTTTAATATTTTTATTTAATATTTGTTTTATATTGTGTCTGGACAGTACTATTTTGATTTATCTTTTTGGATTTTGTAGCATTTCTTGAATCTGTGGCCTGATGTCTTTCATCAGTTTTGGTAAATTCTTAGCCATTATTATACCTTCAAATAATCGCATCTGCACATTCTCTCTTTTCAGTTTTTCTAGGAGTCTCATTATGTTAGCATTTGTCATTGAATACCCTATCTTTTATGTTTTTTCTTTGTTTATGTTTTATCCATTTGTCTTTTGATAGGTTTATTCTGGATATTTTCTTTTGGGTTATTGTATTTTTTTGTTTTAGAATTTCTAGTTTGTTTTTTAGTTTGGTTCTAGCTTTCTGCTAAAATTCCCTGTTTTGTGTATTTTTGCACATATTAAGTTATTTTAAAATTTGTCTGATTTTTGGGAACAAGCTAGATGTGGTAGTTGCATAACAGTGTGAATGTCCTAAATGACTACTTAAGTTATTTAAAATCTGTGTCTGATTTTGGAAACATGGTAGAGGTAGCAGTTGCACAACATTGTGAATGTTCTAGCTGCCACTAAATTGTTAACTTTTTTTTTTTTTTTTGAGTTGGAGTCTCACTCTGTCACCTAGACTGGAGTGCAGTGGCACGCTCCTGGCCACTGTAGCCTCGACCTGCTGGGCTCCAGCAATCCTTCTGCCTCAGCCTTCCAAGTAGCTGGAACTACAGGCGCGCTACCACGCCCGGCTAATTTTTTGATTTATTGTAGAGATGAGGTCTTGCCAAGTAGCCCAGGTGGGTCTCGAACCTGCGGGCTCAGGCAATCCACTCACCTCGGCCTCCCAAAGCACGGGATTACAGGCTGAGCCACTGAGCCCGGCCAATTGTTCACTTTAAAATAGTTAATGTTATGTGAACTTCACCTCAATTTTTAAAAATTGGTGTGTCTAATAATTTGATTATCTGATTTTCAGTGGATCCATTTTTATAGCCTGTTGTTTCTCTAGGTTTTCATTTATGCTGTCTTGACTTCTGGTTTGCCTTTTTTTGAGTGCTGAGTTTTGTATAGAAACAATTATAGTAATAAATTGAGTCCCACTGTGATGTTGTTTTACCCTAGAGATAATCATGTTTGCTTTTGGTAGGCGTTTTGATGCACTAATAATCTGGGATCATCTTAATCCTACTTTAGAGACTGTGATAGTTTAAAGCTTTAGTCCCAGAGACAGCTGGTCTATTTCTAGTTCACCTTTGTTCCTGTGTAGTGTAAGAAGCTTCCCAGGACCTTCCCTTCCTGTTTGGCCTTTGTGTCTAATTTTTGTTTTCATACTCTTTCAGGCTTGAAAGAACAGTCCTTGCTCACCTTCTCAGCTTCTGTGACACCTTCTCAGGTGTCTGAAAACTCTTGTAACTCTAAAAGATAGACTGACTACTTTGAATTTGCTTTTTCTCCAAGATCATGATCCTATAATGCCTTGTTAGTACTTTCAAACAGATTTAAAAATTACTTTGATCATCTTTTTAAAGTTTTTCTCAATAAGAGAGTTGTTCTTAATTACGTAGTCTGTCACTTAACAGAACAGGAATTATCTTTTATTTCTTTAGGCATAGAAGCATAGTTTTAAATTGTCTGTGTCTGGTAATTCTATTGGCTGTTCTTTGTAGGTTTGATGTGTTATGTCTTATTTCTTTAGGCTCTGGTTCATGATGTCTTCTTTCCTTATGTGACTGGTTACCTGCATATGCAAGGTATAATATTTCAAAAAGTATTATGAGAATCATTTGAAGCATAAGATAAAGACATCATATTCCAAAGAGTAAATTGGTTCACAACCTGGTTTTCATACTCTTGGGTGGAACCAGGGAACTTCAAGCCAAGATCTTGATTACAGAATTGGAGAAATGATAGTTCATAAATTGTATTTGGCATAAGGAAATAAAAATCCTATTTTGAACAGGATGCCCTATACATGCCACAATTTTAGAGAAAAATGGAGATCCAAAGAAGTGAGTTTAGATTTGAAGGCTATAATTTCCCCAAAGGTATTTTCAGATTTTTGAAAATGAAGGCGATCATGTGGGGGTTTTTTTTCTGTGTTAGT